AGTTTAAACTTACCACTGAGAAATGCCCTGATCAAGTCGTGCTTGCGATGGAGTTTCAGGTTGAGCGACTGCATCGGTATCATCCTCGGACTCGTGCTCGAATTGATAAGGTAATATCGATGCCATTTTTGTAACCTTATAGCATCTTTGTTTACAAGTAACCCACCGGAGCAAAAAATAAATTATGGTAATGAGCATTTCGTTTCCGACACGCATTGTATACGGAAAGACCAATCACAACAGACTTGGCCAGCTGACCAATCAGAGCAGAGTAGGTTCATGGAAGGGAGGGGTTTACAGTTCTTAAGCTCAGAACATGATTTCGAACTAATCGTTTCGAAATCATTGAAAAATTATTCTAATATTAAATGTATATTCTGAGAAAATTACAAAGTTTTCTGACCTTAGATGCATTTAAACCTGTTGTAGGGGACTCCGACACAATATTAGGACACTTTAAAATACCATATGACCTGCTCTTTAAATAGATTTGCTTTTTTATATTTTTATATCAGTATACATTAGGGTGTTTTGTGTTACATTTTATGTTATTTAGTGAATGTTTTATCACATAATTTTGGTGTTGTGTGTTACCCAGATGGTGTTTTGTCTGTGTGTGTGCACCGTTTATACAAGTGTATTGCCCATGTTTTATGAACAGATCACTTACGATGAACTGATTCATCATGTGACTTTCTATTGTGCTACCTGTATTATTATGGTGGTTACCCATTTTAATGTACAAAGCAGATTTTGGTAGATCAAGTAGTTTGGTATATAAGCATTATATCACTTAATGAAATACAGTTAATAGTTGTAAAATATACAGGCACCAACATGCCGTCTCATACAGTAATACCTGAAACAACATCACTGATTTTTTTTTTACCATTTCTGGCAACCACAGCTGCCAGTTTTTTTTTTTACCATACATTTAATGGGATATTTTTGTTTTTACAGAGAAGTACATAAAATGAAAATGAGCAATGTTAGAGACAGAAAGTGTTTTGCTACTGTCTCATGAAGGAATGATTGGTACTCTGGTCTCTCTTTAAATAGACCATACCATATGACCTGCTCTTTAAATAGATTTGCTTTTTTATATTTTTATATCAGTATACATTAGGGTGTTTTGTGTTACATTTTATGTTATTTAGTGAATGTTTTATCACATAATTTTGGTGTTGTGTGTTACCCAGATGGTGTTTTGTCTGTGTGTGTGCACCGTTTATACAAGTGTATTGCCCATGTTTTATGAACAGATCACTTACGATGAACTGATTCATCATGTGACTTTCTATTGTGCTACCTGTATTATTATGGTGGTTACCCATTTTAATGTACAAAGCAGATTTTGGTAGATCAAGTAGTTTGGTATATAAGCATTATATCACTTAATGAAATACAGTTAATAGTTGTAAAATATACAGGCACCAACATGCCATCTCATACAGTAATACCTGAAACAACATCACTGATTTTTTTTTTACCATTTCTGGCAACCACAGCTGCCAGTTTTTTTTTTACCATACATTTAATGGGATATTTTTGTTTTTACAGAGAAGTACATAAAATGAAAATGAGCAATGTTAGAGACAGAAAGTGTTTTGCTACTGTCTCATGAAGGAATGATTGGTACTCTGGTCTCTCTTTAAATAGACCACAGATAACTTTCTTTACTGGCTGTGGCCATAAATCTTCTCAAAATGGCTTCTTTGCCTCCTCTCGAAGCTTTCTGAACCAAGAATCAGCAGAAAGAGACAAATAAATAATCTTGCGGTGTTTCTGACAAGCCATAATCATCAGTCTTATGATCAAACTGAAATCACAGCGCAGATATGCACTGCAGTCGGGGGGAAAAGTGTCACAGTGCACATACCGGTAAATTAATTCCACACCAGTGTTTACATAACCAGCGTGGCCTCAGACAAACTAAGCCAGCATGAATATGTAATTCATCTCAAAAGTGCAGAGATGGCGAACCACGCAGGAGCCGCAAACAGAAAAAAGAGACAACCTCGGAGTTGGTCATGAAAACTTGCAAACACGCCACAGTGGACCAGCCGCAAGAGGATGTGGACGTACAGACACGGTCCCAACAGATTCCAGCCGAGCTCAGATGGAGAGGAAAAGAGTGGCATGGAAAGTTCTGATTCAGTGCAGTCAGTTGAGACTGACTCGACGTTAATGAGCTCTCCCTCTGTATATACGTCTGCAGGAAGCTACAACCTTACATAAATACTTGGCACATAAAAGCATCCCATAAATGGAAACAGTAAAGCAATGAGAGGAGATGGTATGAGGTGTTTTGGAGAACCTAAACCAGAGAGACACAGCCAGTCAGTCAGGCACATACTGTCCTTACAGAGACAGTGAGCTCACCGCATTTACTAAGGCTGTATTTCAGAGCCCTGTAACATATGAGAGTGATTTAACTCATCTATTATTTTCCGACTCACTGACGCAAGCACCTTTCCACCCCCCCTAGGTGATCTCATCTGGAGCGGAGTCTGGATGCTGCTGACACTCAGTTACGGGCCGCTCTATTTCAAACGTTTACTGTATAAGAATGTGCCATGAGCTGAGTCACATCCACTTTAAACACAAATGGGAATCTCAGTATACTTGGAGGCACTTCAATCTAAACTTCATCCCATTCGAAAACTAAATGTCAATATATCGGGCTGCATGCTGGGCAAGAAGCTTAGTGGTGTTTGACTAGTTTGTAGAAGCTTTGTGTAAGCACTGGGCGAGGAGTGATTGGAGTGTGTGTGTGTGTGTGCGCTGGATGTCGGATATTACAATCCAGGCCAGTTATTCATATGCCAACGTTTTACTTCACATTCACAGAAAATACTAAATATACGCTATTAAAATAAAGGTTCCAAATGGGGGTTTTCACTATAATTGCGTAGACGAACCATTTCCACTGAACAGTTCTTTAAAATAACCATTTTTCTCAGTGTGAAGAACATTTTAATAATCTAAAGAACCATTTTTGCTATAAAGGACATTTTGTGCAATGGCCAGGTTTCATTGACGGTTCTTCATGGAACAAAAGATGCTAATAAAGGACATTTATGTTTAAGAGTGTACTTCCATAACACTGCTTTTCCAAAGCATAGTCTCCAAAAAAAAAAAAATCAAACAGCTTAACTGAGTCCTGTAAATCAATCCATTCACAAGGCCCTGCTCACACACACAGACAAACCAGACCCAAACCAGCTACAAAACAGCTCAACAAACACTCTTTACAACAGATATAAATTCCTACACACTCTTAAAAATAAAGGTCCCAAAGGGAGGTTTTACAGTGATGTCATAGAAGAACCATTTTTGGTTTCTGAAGAACCTTTCAGTGAACCTTTCCTAAATGAATCTTTTTAAAAAAAATCTAAAGAACCTTTTTCCTTAAAGAACCTTTTGTGGAATGGCAAGGGTCCATGGATCTTTATGGAACCATAGATGCCAATAAAGAACCTTTATTTTTTTAAGAGTAAAGGAAACAAAAACCACAAAAGATATCACACTTACAGTATGTCCCATAGACAATGATTACATTAAAGGGGTCATATGATGCTGCTAAAAAGAACATTATTTTGTGTATTTGGTGTAATGAAATGTGTTTATGCGGTTTAAGGTTAAAAAAACACATTCTTTTCCACATACTGTACATTATTGTTTCTCCTCTATGCCCCGCCTTTCTGAAACGTGTTGATTTATACAAAGCTCATCGGTCTCAAAAAGCAAAGTGTGCTCTGATTGGCCAGCTATCCAGTGCGTTGTGATTGGCCGAATTCCTCAAGCGTGTGACAGAAATGTTACATCCCTTACCATATTGTGATGCCTGCGGCAACCACATGTGATGACCCCGGGCTGGACTCCGCTTCGTCCACGGTGAAAGCCGATCCGGCAATCCACAGCACGAAGTTGAAGTATTTCCTCAGCGACCAGCACGGATCAGCTCTAGGCATGACGAAGCGATATCATCCTCTTTTGGAAGGTCAAACAAAGTAGTTTCGCTTTCACAAAGAAGCACACAGCGCCTTCATGACATGGCTGCAGTGGCAACAATACTACAGTGAGAATAAAAGTTACGTCTTCTTTCTTTGCGTGAACATTTGGGCGGCATTATGCAGATCTTCCCAGATAGTGATGTAGGTATGTGGGGGCGTGTTAGAACGAGCCGTTTTAGGTAGGAGTGGCTGACTCTTAACTTTTATAAAGAATAGCTCTTTGGATTTGAGACTTTAGTCTTTGCAACTTTACAGATCTTCTTTATGCAACAAGAGCTTGTAACACTCCAAAGAGAAAGGAAAAATTGAAATAGCATCATATGACCCCTTTAAAAGGAGAGAAAATTAAGACTTTTGTTTAAGCCTCATGCATCTTAGATGTTTCTCCTGTGGGAAAAGCTCCCAGTAATCTCCCATGTGTCTCCTCCTAAGTGCCAGAAAAGATCTCAAAGTTTCAAACTAAGCTCAGACTTGACAAGATGCCAAAGTATGTAATAGTCAGAGATTTCAATATAGACTCAAACATTTCTCATCAACTTCTTCCAAGATCAAATGATCTGAGCTTTCACAATCATTTTATAGATCTTTACTCTTACTGTATAGCAACAATCATTTAATTTGGTCTATTTGTATTTCTCCAACGAGTAGGAATTTCAGAAGAAACATCTGAGACAAAGTTTATGCTTAAATGAAACATAAATTAGATATCTGTTATGTCTTTGGAGCTCTGACAGAACAATAAAAATCCCTGTGCCCTGAAAACTTTGTGCCCTGCACCCGTTCTCCCACAGATATCTCCTCAACAGAAAGCACTAACAGTGCTGCTAAACCTTAACGTGCTCCTTCTCACCCCAGTGCTATCAGCCTTAAGAAAGTTAATCATTCATTTCACATCACTTCAAAGCTCTTGTGAGCTGCAGTAGTAATATGAACTCTAGTGCATTCTGTGTATGTGTAATAAATACAGTTGCATTGCTGACATACCCATAGTGCTCTGCATGGCTGCCTCCTCGCGTCTCCCCAGTCTGTCCTGGAGGTACAATCCCAGTCTGCTCACTGTACTTCTCTCTCAGTCTTACACACACTCCTTCTCTTTCCTTCTCTCTCACACACTCATTCTTTCTGCACCTCCTCCTCATGCCAAAGTTTCCTCTCTTTTCTCTGGCAGAAACCCCCTTCCTCTCTGTCCTGTTCTCTTCTCTCTTTCCCTGCTGTTTGCCGCCACAGCACCGCCCCCTTCTCCTGCTACCCTCCTCCCTCTCTCACTTTGTCTATGGCCCCTTGCTCCTCCACCACCCCCATCCTCACACACATTTAATCCCTCCTCATGCTCACTCCCTCTCTTTTCCCTTGTCTTTCTTTGACCTTTTTCTTTTCTTCGTCTCTGTCCACTACAATGTGTGTGGAAAATGGAAATACTGCCGTCCTGTTTTGAAGTCTGACCCTCAGCAGCTGCTTTAACCCTATAAAGCCTACTGTATCATGTTTGATGAGCAAATTTCTAAGGCCTCTAAATTATCAACATTGTATACAACAGGTTTTGCAGCAAAGTTTTGATAGACTACAACATGCCTTCTGTCATCTGACTGATTGTTTATACTTTTTTAGCAAGTAAATGACCTTTTAGTATAAGTGTAAAAACATCCCCCTTCAGGTAATGGCACACGTCTTTTTACTGTAGAATCTTTAGTGATTTTTATAAAGTAAACATAAGAATAACTTTTATATTGTTAGCAATATTTCAAGATGAACACTTATTGGACTGAATCAACTTAGGTTTATTTGATTTTCCATACATAATGTTTTAGAAAAAAATTATTTTATACAACTTTTATGTAAGCATGTCATACTGTTTTTCATACTACTTTTTGGCCATATAAATATTAACAACTGCACCAAACTGCACATTTTGTGCTGTTTGGGCCCCTGAATAAAATTGAGGTGCCTTTTTCTCCGTTAGTATTAGCTCCATATTCTCTTATATCATACTCTATGAGCAAATCAAAATATCAATATCATACGCAAACATTTATTTATTTTTTTTGTCTGAAGGTTCAATACACTGTTCTGTTTATTTTTCTGACTATTATTTCATATGTCAGGCTTTACTGGGTTAATGTGACTGACACACACACACACACATGCAGATAAACGCTGTGTGTAAAGAGTTAGTTGTCCACTATCTGAATTAGAAAACCTCTCCAATCAAGTCAAACTCTTCGTATGTTTAGTGGATTTGAATGGGATATACGTTAATCTTAAGGAATACTGGGACATAAACACATGACTCACTCTAAACACTGACTCATCACATGCCCACATACCCTGTTGATGCTTTAACATATGAAAGAGTGCAGTAAACACACACACTCACCACAAATGCACACAAAGAGCATCACAAAGGGTCTGTTGTGCTGTATGACATCACACTGAAAGTTTCATGCAAAGCAAACACAGGGATCCAATCAAATCTTTGTGAGGATGACAAGGACAGAAAAACAACATTTGCGTGTTTCTTTCAAATTTGGTCCTGTGGACTTTTATATGAATGTACCTTTAACATTTTCACTAGTTTAATTTGTCTGTTATGTCCATCAGTGGATATGCATCACAGGAGAATTCTGCCATTTTTTCCATTCTTTATGAACTTTTTTATGAATTAACAAATATGATGGGAATGATGGTAACATTTTTATTGAGCATAAAGACACTCAATTAGTAATACTTTCACACGTTTTGATTTTACAACATTACATTTTGAAATAATACAATTATTATATCACTGGAGATGTTATTATTTACATTGATTTGTCTTTGTTTTCTTCACACATCACATATCTTTTTATTTCAGGCATTTACTTCATTGACACTGTTGTCTCCTTATTAGCCAAGTACACTAACTTTAGACAAAAACATAACAAGGAGCAGAATTGTTGTGTTGGAAACTGTGGGACAATTTTACACATAATTTTAATTTAAAAAAACCATTCTAAATAATTGTTAATTTCACACATATCAAAATTATTTATTTTATCCCGTCTTTTTATCTTTGTTTTGACAATAATTAATATAATTAAAATAATTATTTTTTTATAATTTATTTTTATATTTTATGATGTAAAAATAATATTACAAAGTCTGGATCTGGGACAAAGTTTTTAAAATATATACACAAATATATACAGGGTCAGAATTTTTTTAAGCAGCACAACTGTTTCCAACATTGATACTAATAAGAAACATTATTAATAATTAAGCATCTATAATAATTGAACAGCAAATCAGCATATTAGAATGATTTCCAAAGGATCATGTGACACTGAAGACTGGAGTAATGATGCAGAAAATTCAGCTTTGCATCACAGGAATAAATGACATTTAAAATACATTAAAATAGAAAACAGTAAATTGTAAAAGTAGCCTATTTCACAATATAACTTTTTTTTTAAGGAAAGCATTTTAAGACAAATCAGTCGCTGGGACACAGAAGTGCTGTATTCGAAGAATCAGCCATTTGTCTAAAGGTTTGCCTTTCAACAGGCCCCATTCACTCGTTCTCCTCTTTCAATCATTAACCACTCCACTCCTGATTTACTGGCCATTCCCAAACAAAAGCAAGGAAGCATGACGTGTTATGTTCCTAACCTGCGTGCGCAAAAAACAGTAAATACAGGGATCCTGAGCGTGTGTGGAACTCAAGTGAAGTGAAAAGGAGAAAATGTGGAACGAGAGGGGTATAGAGAAAAGACAGAGAGTGAGAGACGGAGGAAGGAGAGCTAATGAAGCATTAGGAACAGATGAGCATCCAAGTGATTAATGGACACTTGCCCTCCAGGGAAGTTATCATATGAACATACACTCCACATATACTCACTAGGGAGACTTAACATGATACTCCCAGCCACAGTGCACACACATATTGTGTCACTTCCTGTTTGTTGCTGCCGTGTGGTTTGAGTTTGAGCTCCGTCAATTTAATTCTTTGTCATCTAATTTTTTATCTTAAAATCAATTTTATACACCATCCTTTTTCAGTTTTATAACGTGTGAATATATCCCCTATCGTATTCTACAACAAAAACAATCAGAGCGCCTTGTTATCACTAGTTTTATTTTTGATCCCCGAGTCCGCTATTAGCATATAGCCCGCTAGCATCGCTAGCGTGGTAGCAGCTAATCTCGCTTACACTAATACTCTATTCACACACATTTCGTTGACATGATTGCAAAGATATTATTTAAACTGAGCTGGATGTTGACATCACTGAATTCAATGATGAACTGTCTTTAACTGAAAAATTTGTGTTTACTATTGTCATTTTGCATTATTGACACTATTTTCCTAATTAATGCTGTTCAGTTGCTTTGACACGATCTGTATTGTTAAAAGCGCTATATAAATAAAGGTGACTTGACTTGACTTATCTCACAGTACATCCGGCCAACTGCGTTCTCCTCACCAGAGCGACTGCACATGCACCAATGCTTACACACACTGCTGGATAGAACTGATTATATTTAATCTGGATTACGTAATCAGATTACAAAAATTAGAAAAAAGGTAACACTTTATTTTAAGGTGTCCTTGTTACACATGTTACATGTACTTACTATTATAATAACAATAAATTATGCATAATTACATGCAAGTAACCCTAAGCCAACCCTAAGCATATAGTAAGTACATGTAGTTAATTAATATTACTCAGTACTTAAATCTATAATTACACTTTAACAAGGACACCTTAAAATAAAGTGTAAAAAACAACAACTTGTAATTAAATTATTTTACATTTTAAAATACTCATAATCAGACTACAATTACTTTTTTATTGATTACACAATTACTGAATATTCACAAAATGACAGTAAACTTCATGTAATTTGTATTCAGTAATGGACAACAATTTGTTAGTATTCTGCACAGCACTGCTTTCAGAACACTGTGGACATGTAAACGTTGTTTCTTCCAGTACTGTACTGGTTAAAGCTGTTGTTAGTGGGGCAATGAACAGCCAAGATTAAGTATGAATGGGGGAAGGGGAATTCTCAATCCCCCCAAACTTCCCAGTCCTGCTGTTTCTATTCAATTCAGAGAGGAAGAAATGGAACGGAATAGAGTTTGACTGAACAAAAGACTGAACAAGAACCTAATCCCCCTTCCACCCCTCACATACATACACACACACTGATCTGATCAAGCATGTACACACACATGCAGACGGACACACACAAAATGTGAGGTCCTCAAAACCTCCAACAAAACACTTGACCCTTCATCTACTGAGAGAGAGAGACGGGGTAAAAACGCAAAACAACTGTTGAATGGCAGATTGAGGGTTGTGGTGGGGAGCTCTGTGAGTTTCGTTGCTAAAATGAGCAGAACTCGGCTGATATCTGCAGATTCAGGTGCACATCGCCAGAAAATTTGTTCATTTGTTCATCAGATGTTCATTTAATAAATAATTGAGTTCAGTTTGACTATGTTTTCAGTTGCCAGTGCTTTGTTTTAACACACTTTATGATGTTTAAAGTCAACATGAAACGGTTTACTTTTTAAAAGCCCTTATTGGACATGATTCATCAGTGCATTTTATTTCTAAAAAAAATGTCTGTCTTTGTAGTCTTTGATAAGAATGTACATGCTTGGTCTCAAACCGTAGTTGGTGTCACTTTTTCAGCCCATCCCCTCCACCCACTTGTCACATTTAAACCACATTTCACAAGCATTCAAAATTAAAATCCTGCCCAACATTTTTTTCTTGTTGTATAATCTGTTTCATTAATCTAAAATATGTCACATTAAGGAAGTAAAATGGGTTGCGATGCCATTTCATGTTGACTTTCCCCACAAGTCAGCGAATTTCTTCTCCAAAAATCAGCACAGAAAATGTGTGTGGGGGGGGGGGGGGGTAGGGCCTTTTTCCCCGG